AGGCGCACACACACGCTGTTTGCAAAATTGGGGGAAGCCTGTGACCTTCTTTTGCATTAACGGCCTATGGGGTAGATAACAATGAATCAATAGAATGCAGAATAGAATAGAATAGAATAGAATAGAATAGAATAGAATAGAATAGAATAGAACAGAATAGAATAGAATAGAAACAGGCCTGCTCTCTCTCTCTCTCCCTCCCTCCCTCCCTCTCCTCTTTTATTCCCTATGGGAGGGCCATTCACTGTCCACCTGTCTTTACTCCCAAGTCGAGCCTTGTTCCTTCTCCTGGCAGCTCTGTGCACGCGCACATTGGGAATAGGCTCCAGCTGTTCTTCTTCCCCACTGATCTCCAACTCCGAAGGCAGCTGATAACTGTCGGACGCAAAGCCCTCGTCAGAGCCTTCCCCAGACTCCAGGAGTGGCCCATGTTCCTCCCCAACCTCCTCGCTGTCAGAGTCTGCCGCCAGCTTTGCTGGCCCGCTGGCAGGCCACAACCAAATTCATTAAATTTCTATGCCAACTCACTCCCAACGACCCAGAGCAGTTCACAAGTAAAAACATAAATAACATAATTATTAGGAAGGTTGGATGAAAAGAAGATGAACATCTCCGGAGATGCGCCTGTTGTAGTTAGCCGGCAGCAGGTGCGGACGGCTGAGGAGAGCGAGGACTCAAATGAGTCCCCAGGACCATTAGGGAGTGGACTGCTGCCTTCAGAGATTGTGGGGGCTGGCAGCAGTGATGAGGATGTTCCTGAGGGCTGCTCACAGAAAAGAGCAGTTACAGCAGCACGGGCGACTCGGGAGTAAGGCTGCAAAGTAATGGCCCCTCCTTCAATAAGATAAAAGCCAGCTGTGAATCGGACGTTCTTTGCAGGAAGCAAAGACGTTTTGAAACTCCAGCCTCATGGACATTTCAGTATCTTAGTTGGTATTTGAAGACTCTTGTGTTGTAATATATTTCTAGGTAACCTTATCTGTTATTCTTGGCAGCCTCGCACAGTTTTGGCAAGGCTTGTGCTTATCAAAGTTTAATAGTTTGCAGCAGCCTTTTAACCGGGGATTGTAAGAAACATTAAAAGGTTTCTGTTCCCTTTAGTTCATGTTTGTTTTATTGGAAAAGGGTTTGGGTCAGAACAGCTCCGTCATCCAGGCCGTGGTTGTGCCAAAGGTGCTCTATCAAAAGGCAACTGGACTTTGATTTTCAAAATACAATTGAAAGAGCACCTTTGGGACAAAGAAGGTAAATTCCAAATTAGATTTGTAACCCTGACTAGCCTTAAGGACCTTAAAACAGAAGTCAAGTTTCTATACCTCATTAATCTTTAAACTTTGGGAAATTCAAGGAAGCTGCACCCACCAGGAACATTGATTAAAAATAAATAAATAAGAGATTTAAATTATGTCCCATCTCCCAATTCCCTGTCTGCCCTCCCAATTTGGCTCCAACCACCCCATGGATGGAGGGCTGCTAGGTGGAGGAAGGAAGATTTCCACATGTGACAGCAGCTTTTTTTCCTCCACCAAGGATCCGCTCCAGAAGTTTCAACATCTACCTAGACATCTCCCCTCCTGGGAAAACCCCGTCTTGGCTGAGTTGATAGCTTCCTTTGAAAAAAAGAAGAAAAGGAAAAGGCCAACAACATCAGCGGTGCACCGAGGCACATCTAGGTTGCCTGTTGGAAGAATACGGGAACAACATGCGTAGCACATTGCTGCCCTGCACAGAAGTCAAAGCAAGAGAAAAACCCAGCAGGATTTTGGTTTTGGACAGAGATAGTCTCTTTCTCTCTCTGTCTCTCTCCCTCCCTCCCTCTCTCTCTCACACACACACACTCACCTCAGGACAAGAAAGACAGCAAATCAACCAGGGATAGATAACACCTCAATTAATCCTTCAAAAAAATATGTGGGAAAGGGTGTGGAATTGGCTGCAGCAAAGCTTAATCCATCCATCCGTCTATCTATCTATCCTGTCATATCTGTCATTTCTCTTTCTTTCCCTATCATGCATGCATACATTCATCCTTTACTATCATCTATTTATCTGTCTATCATCTGTCTGTCTGTCTGTCTGTCTGTCTGTCTGTCTGTCTGTCTGTCTGTCTGTCTCTATCTATCTATCTATCTATCTATCTATCTATCTATCCTTCATTTACCTATCATCTATTTATCTATCTTTCAGATCTATGTCTCTCTATCATCTATTTATCTGTCTCTCATCTATCTATCTATCTATCTATCTATCTATCTATCTATCTATCTTTTTATTTACCTATCATCTATTTATCTTTCAGATCTGTCTCTCTATCATCTATTTATCTGTTTCTTATCTATCTATCTATCTATCTATCTATCTATCTATCTATCTATCTATCATCTATCTATCTATCTATCATCTATCTATCTATCTAATCTATCTCTATCACCTATTTATCTATCTGTCTCCTATCTATCTCTATCGTCTATTTATCTGTCATCTATCTATCTATCTATCTATCTATCTATCTATCTATCTATCTAATCTTTATCATCTATTTATCTATCTGTCTCTAATCTATCTAGCTACCTACCTATCATTTATTTACCTATCATCTATTTCTCTGTCATATCTATCTGTGTCTATATCTATCATCTACTTATGTATCTGTCTCTCTCTGTTTCAAACATTTACCTTAGCAATCAACTACGATGGTAGTCTATGCATCATGTTATGGGATATGATGTTTTCTCAGATTGTATGCATTTTAATTCTTATATATTGCCATTATTATTATTTTATTTTGATGCGCACCCAGACAGACTGAAAAAGGACATTTTAAAAAATTGATTGAGACCTGCAATGCAGTGATTGTATAAAACTGCCCCAACAATCCATCAAATTTATTACACTCGTTGTTTCCAAATGGCGTCTCTGCATGTTACGATAAATTTGCCAAGCTTGAGAAAAGTCAAGTTTCAGACAAGATTAAAAACGAAGCTCTTCCAAGTGTGTTGACTAAAACAATCTCTCCAGCTTGGTGGCTGGTTGACTTTGAGGCTACTTATGTCCCAAAAAGTGATTACTTAATTCGGTTATTATTCTTTTCTTAATCGGTTTCTTACCGTGAACGTTGCCATCGTTTATTTAGAGTGGGTGTAAATGATAACAATAAGTATGATTTGTATTCTTTAGCGTTAACAGCAGGGAACCCAGCCGGCTGAATAAATGAGTGAGTGAATAAAATCTCAGCAGTGCTATCGACTCAAAAGATCTCACGTCCAATTTTCTTGGTGGGCTTTATAAATTTGTGCTTAAAAGCTTTTTTTAAAAAAACTTTTTCCTTGGGCTTAAAACTGATTCTGAAAATACTCGTGAGGCAGATATGCCGATCCCTGAGTTAGGTTTGAAAAAAGGAATTTTTTCCTGGGAAACTGTTTTGAAATGGAAAGGATGGGTGGGAGACAGAGAAAAGACTAGAAGACTGCCAAGTCTGTTACTCTGTTTAAAAGTATTTCCTCCACTTTTAACCTATTTTAAATTCTACCTCAGCGGTCTCCAGACTTGTGGATTTCAACTCCCAGAATTCATGATTGGCTGGGGAATTCTGGGAGTTGAAGTCCACAAGTTTCCAAGTTTGGAGTCCTCTGTTTTAGCTTGAAGCTACACTGTTTCCCCCCAAAATACAACCTACCCTGAAAGTAAGCCCTAGCTTGATTTTTTACACATGCGCCCAATATAAGCCCTACCCCCAAAATAAGCCCTAATTAAGATCCCGCCCACTCCAGAGTACACAAGTAAAAATTAAGCCAGGGTGGGGATGGACGGGAGGAGCTGCCCTACTGCTTACCTTCGGACAGTTGTAGCCAAGCCTCACATACCCCTACACCTTCCTTGCTGGCCCATTTCTTCTGCAGCTGGCAAGGCTGGCAAGGCTTTCCTGAAGGCCTCTGTAGCCGATAACAAAGCTCTGGATCGATCCAGAGCTATTATTGCCTGCAGAGGCCTTCGGGAAAGCTTTGTCGGCCGCAGAATAAGTTCCTGAAGGCCTTTGACAGCAAAAAGGAGGCCAGGAGTGACGCGCGCAAGTGAGGTTAGTCAGTGGATGACATCCCCCGAAAATAAGACCTAGTGCCTCTTTTTTGGTGGCAAAAAAATATAAGACAAGGTCTTGTTTTGGGGGAAACACAGGTAGGAAATTTGAGGCAGTGAGCTAAGGGCAGCGCAATTTGTGAGACTTCCTCGCACCGAACACTTCCTCCTACCTTTACGGGAGAAGACACCTGAGGTCTCTTCTTCGGAACTGCTCTCCGTTTCGAAGAGGTCCTTAAATTCCCTCTTGTCCTCCTCTTTCTTTTCGTTCGGCTTCTTACGTTTAATTTCGGGGAAGTTCAGGTCTTCCAGCTACAGCCAGACAACAAAGGAAGGAGGACAGAAGAAAAAGACATTAAAAACGTTATTTCCTCCAGTCTCCAATGGGCCCCAATGCAGAAGGCAGCTAGGTGGCTGTTCTTTGTTTTGTTTTTAAAATAAATTTATTTATTCAACCGTTTTAACATTTAAAAACAAATTTCCACACTTTACAACGTTACTATAGCAGTGTTTACGCTGTAGACATCTTCTATTAACGTGTTATGCATCTCTGTTTTTCATTCGTCGTCATTCTAGGCATTTTATACACATAAACATTTTTATTTACCTCTATTTACATGAAAACTTTGTTTTGTAGTTTTATAGTATTACATAGATCATTTGACGCCTTTGCGTCTTATTCTTATTTGTTCCAAACACCCCATATTTTATAATATTCTCCTTCTTCTTTATCCTTCAATAATTTTGTTAATCTATCCATCTCTGCACATGGATATACCTTATTAATAATTGTGGCTTCGGGGGTGTGTGTGTCATAGCCTGCTTCCAATTTTGGGTGAAAGAAATTCTGGCCACCGTTATGATATGGAGCATCAAATATTAATATTTTCTGTGCATGTTAGGGTCTATCATCCCTAATAAAAAGATTTCTGGTTTAAATTTCACTCTGTTTCACTATTTCCTCTAACCATGATCTAATTTTTTGCCAGTATCTCCGTGCGTGGGGGCACATCCACCACATATGGAAGTATGTTCCCTGGTTATGATTGCATCTCCCATATTTGGGTATCATATTTGGAACTAAGGGGTTGTTTTAAAGCATGTTTTAAAACCCCACAAAACTACATACATACAGGTTGAAAGAAGGGAATATAGCAAGGCTCCCGCATGAGCAAGTGTTACACATAATCACTGAAGTAAAATATTAACAGAATAACACAGTTGGAAGAGACCTTGGAGGTCTTCTAGTCCATCCCCCTTCTCAGGCAGGAAGCCCTATATCATATTCCCACTTCCCGAATAGAGTCTGAAATATTGAAGGGTGGAAAAAAGAAATATCCTACAGAGAAATCTTGAATTTTCAACTATGGGAGAATTGTAAAAATGCCAAGACTGTCTTTTTGTTTTCTAATCCTTTCCAGCCAATGCAGCCTTCACAAAAGAATGCAGAAAATCCCTCTTTTGGAATTTCTGACGAGTTTCAAGATCTCTGAAATTATATAGCCAAAAGAAAATGTTGGGGATCTCAAAATAAGGAGGAAAATACTCCTTCGATTGCAATTGTGTGGCCAAACCTGCCCCAATACAATGGGCGGGTTATGTGTGATTAAAACCCTGAGAAAAGTCAAATGAAGCAGAAAGTAGCAATTGCATTAATTGGTCGCCCGCTGTGTGCCAGGATCTCAAGATGGCTTAAAATGGAAGGATTTGGAGTCACCAACTATATAAAAAAAGATTTTGAGACTGTAGAAAAAGTGCAGAGAAGAGCAACCAGGATGATGAGGGGACTGGAGGCTAAAACATACGATGAACAGTTTCAGGAACTGGGCTTGGCCAGTCTAGAGAAGAGAAGGACCAAGGGAGACAGGAGAGCAGCCTTCCAATATTTGAAGGGAGAGGGACAGAAAGAAAAGGAA